TTGATCTCACTTAAGTGGATTTTTCTGTCACTTGCACCCAAACACCTCCTCCCCAATACATTTCTATTCTGCCTTTGAAAAGGAATCTCTCACTTGATTCTGTATTGAACATTTAGCTGCTTTTCTACTTATTTCTTTCCTAGTTGAACTTCTCCTAAATGATTTAAAAATCTTAGTGTCTTCATTTTCTCACTGCCCTTTCCTGTTTAATCCACTAACATCTGGATTTTCTTTCCCAATCTGCTGACACTCTTTTCTTTCTTCTTCTTTTTTTTTCCCCCTTCACTACCTTTGATCATGTTTTTATTCAAAATTAGCTGTCCAAAGTGATTTGACCTTTATGGAATAAACAAATTTCGTTTATGCCCCAGGCTGCTCTTCTGTGGCGGGTTTCTTTTCTGTGGGCTTCCTCCCAGCTGCCGGTTTCTTGGAAGCAGCAGCTCTTTTTCCCCACCAAAGGCTTCTTCTGCTTCTTAACACCAATAGCCGTCCTTCCTGTCTTCCCGACCACAGGCTTCTGGCCTGGAACCCCCTTCTCATCTGATTTGGCTTCTAGCGCTGCTGCTGCTTTATCTACCCAGAGCTTGTGGTTCTTGGTCTGTTCCAGTGCATGGTCTCTGCATACGGGTTTAGCTTCAACATGATTCTCAGGTTTCTCAGTGGATTCTTCTTCAGGACTCTGCGATGAATCGTTTTTTTTGCGTGGTGCCTGGAGGGCACTTTGGATCTCTGGTCTTTTCAACATTCTGCTGAGGTCTGTATTGAGCATCTTGTGCACGGGAAGGTTGTAGTTACTATTGAGGGGGCAGCTTTACGCCAGGTGCCATACAGCTCATCTAACTTGCGGAAAGCATTTTCAGTCCAAATGCAGAAACAGCCCACATGCCCACCAGGAGCAAGTTTCAAAATGTTCGGTTTGCTTACATTAAGCAGAGTAATTCCAGGGATGTTTCTGGAGGCTTTAATGACACCATTGCCTGATTATAGAGGATGCAAGTTCCCCTGTGCTGGATACAATGACGGTTTCTCATTTTGTCCCTCCAGCTCTCATTCGCTGAGAGGCATAGACTTTATATATATATATATATATATATATAATTTCTAGGTCTTAAGTTTCTTAAGAAGCAAAACAGCCTCCTTGGTTTTCTCATAACCTTCAACTTTATCTTCAACCACCCAAGGAAGTTCAGGAACTTTCTCAATATGATGACCTTTAGACATGACCAGTAGTGGGAAGGCCGAGGCAGCCAGGGCAGAGCAGATGGCATATCGCTGCTGTGTTATGTTCACTCTTCGGTGCCAATGGCGCCAGGTTTTGGTTGGTGCAAACATGTGGCCCCCACAACACTTATTTCTAAAAGCACCCTGGCCAGAATGATGAGTCCCACCACCTCAAACTCTGGAAATTCAAGCCACAGCTCTGCCAGTACCCCAAGACTCAGCCCTCTCTCTACCTTCGCTTTCTCTCTCCCTCTCCCCCCCTCCCTTCTACTCTCTCTAAAAATCAATGAAAAAAATATCCTCACTCTTTGGGTGAGGATTAGAATAATAATAATAAATAAAGACTGCTTTGTGGTTTGGAGAGATTAAACGTGTTTTCAGGAAATCAGAGAGTGTTTGCAGAAGTCAAGCATTTGATGGCCTAGAGTACAGTGCTGACCAAAGGCATAAAGAAAAGGCAATTGGCCCAGCCAGCGGTTGAGCGTAGACCTATGAACCAGGAGGTCAGGGTTCAGTTCCTGATCAGGGCACATGGCTGGGCTGTGGGCTCAATCCCCAGTGTGGGACGTGCAAGAGGCAGCCAATCAATGATTCTCTCTCATCATTGATGTTTCTATTTCTTTTTTTTTTTAATTAAATCTTTATTGTTCAGATTATTACATTTGTTCCTGTTTTTTTTCCCCCCATAACTCCCCTCCTCCCAGTTCCCGCCCCACCCTCCGCCCTCACTCCCCACCCACTGTCCTCATCCATAGGTGCACGATTTTTGTCCAGTCTCTTCCCACATCTCCCACACCCCTTTCCCCCCCAGGAATAGTCAGTCCATTCCCTTTCTATGTCCCTGATTCTATTATAATCACCAGTTCATTCTGTTCATCAGATTATTTATTCACTTGATTCTTAGATTCACTTGTTGATAGATGCATATTTGTTGTTCATAATTTGTATCTTTACCTTTTTCTTCCTCTTCCTCTTCTTAAAGGATACCTTTCAGCATTTCATATAATCCTGGTTTGGTGGTGATGAACTCCTTTAGCTTTTCCTTATCTGTGAAGCTCTTTATCTGACCTTCAATTCTGAATGATAGCTTTGCTGGATAAAGTAATCTTGGTTGTAGGTTCTTGGTATTCATCACTTTGAATATTTCTTGCCACTCCCTTCTGGCCTGCAAAGTTTCTGTTGAGAAATCAGCTGACAGTCGTATGGGTATTCCCTTGTAGGTAACTGAGTTTCTTTCTCTTGCTGTTTTTAAGATTCTCTCTTTATCTTTTGCTCTTGGCATTTTAATGATGATGTGTCTTGGTGTGGTCCTCTTTGGATTCCTTTTGTTTGGGGTTCTCCGCGCTTCTTGGACCTGTAAGTCCATTTCTTTCACCAGGTGGGGGAAGTTTTCTGTCATTATTTCTTCAAATAGGTTTTCAATATCTTGCTCTCTCTCATCTTCTGGCACCCCTATAATTCTGATGTTGGTACGCTTGAAGCTGTCCCAGAGGCTCCTTACACTATCCTCGCATTTTTGGATTCTTTTTTCATTTTGCTTTTCCGGTTGGGTGTTTTTTGCTTCCTCGCATTTCAAATCATTGACTTGATTCTTGCGCTCCTCTGGTCTGCTGTCGGGAGTCTGTATAATATTCGTTATTTCAGTCTGTGTATGCTTAATTTCTAGTTGGTTCCCCAATATAAGATCGAGGGTCTCATTAGTTTTCTTGTAGATCTCATTAAGTTTATCGGCGGCTTCTAAACAGTTCTTGAGAGACCTTAAAAGTGTGGTTCTGAACTCTATATCTTCCATTGACAATTTTGTCCTGTTTCTTTGTCTCCGCATTTTGTTATGCTTCCTTGGTGCACCCCCTAGTGGTCTTTGTTCGCAGTCTTATAGTTAAATCTTGATTGTTGTAGCTGGAGGGTTTGACCTCCAGGCCAAGTGGCTATGAGAATCAGCTGTGTCAGCAGTGAGAGAACTTCTGTCCTCTAGGGAGGTGCTAATCTAGCCTTTGCCTGAGGCTATCCGGCAAATGCCTCTGTGCAGGGCTTGGGCGGGGCAGGTCGCACAGGATGAACAGGGTGGGCCGGAGAGAGCAGTTATGGCGGCTCTCAGTCCTGTCCCCAGGGGCTCTGCCTCTCTGAGTCCCAGCACCCGCTGCAAACCTCGGAGAGAAAGCTGCACTCGCTCTGACCGAAGCCAGACAGTCCCGCTTCTCCCGTTTGAGTCTGGGTCGCTAAAGACTCGCCCGGATCTGGAGCTCAGAGTCTGCGACTCCCTCCCGATAGAAAACGCCAACCGCGCCCTCCGCCGCCAGCCCGCTCCGCACACTCCGCACCTCAGAATTTGACTTCAGCACTGCGCCTCCTCTGAGTGTCCGTATGCGTTTCTCTTTCCTCCTAGTTGTAGGACTTCCACTCAGCCAGCATTCCTGTGGTTCTGGGTGATGTCCCTTCCGTCTTTTGGTTTCACTTTTGAAGTAGTTGTTCAAAGCAGCAAACTCCGGCGTTAACCTATGCCGCCATCTTGGTTCTCGATGTTTCTATTTCTTTCTCCTTCTTCCTTCCTCTATGAAATAAATAAAAATGTATTTTTAAAATAAATAAAGAAAAATAAATTGATTTGAGAGATATTTTGGAAGTACGTCCAAAAGGATATTAACAGATGTAGGGAGTGAGAAGCCACTGAAATGTGGAACACAATAATGCACAAATGACCCATTAAGCCATTTTTCAAAGCAAATCTCTTGGCATTTTCTCTCTCTTGGCTTGAATGACATTCAGGGCTCTTTCTCTCAAGATGTGTTTTTCATGGTTCCTTCAGATGTTCCCTCACTAGGGTTATATAACTTCAGATCCCTCAGAGTCAATGTCCCTCCCTCTGGCTAGTATTTACAACGCTGAACCCAAGTTCATGTCCAGCCACATTTTATTAAGGTAATTTCATCCTAGCACCAGGCTGGTCCCTATCTGTGGGGTCTATATCTGGGCCGCAAGTAAAAAAATCCTCTGTGATCAATTCAATGTCAATTCTGTCCTTTTCTCTGTTGCCACAGGCTGCTTTGGCCAACCTCTTTCTTCCTTTCCTTTTTATAAACTGTATTTTATTATGCTAAGAACATTTAACATGGGATCTACTCTCTTGAATTTCTAAGTGTGCAATATATTATCATTGACTCTAGGTACAATGTCATACGGCCAATCTCTAGACTCCACAACAAATCAGTTACAATAAGTACTCTTAGAATTTGGGGGGGAAAATCTTAGAGAAAAATTTGGACTTAACACAGAATTGGGATGTTTAAGACAGTTTTTCCTGGATCTTGCAGGGCAGAGAGCCCCCGTTGATTTCTGAGTTATACATATTTGCTCATGTTTTGCTTTGGAGAAATTCTGCAGATATTTTATGCTTTTACATGTGTGCATATCTTGAACATCACCTATACTAACTTTATCCATTTCATAAGCACTTCTTCAATAAATCTTGCTGACTTTGTTTTTTGCTATTTCTCTCTCTTTTTTTTTTTTAAACAACAACATATTTTTATTGATTTCAGAGAGGAAGGGAAAGGAGAGAGATAGAAACATCAATGATAAGAGAGAATCATTGATTGGCTGCCTCCTACACGCCCCCTACTGGGGATCAAGCCCACAACCCGGACATGTGCCCTTGACTAGAATCAAACCCGGGAACCTTCAGTCCACAGGCTCTATCCACTGAGCCAAACCAGTGCTGTTGAGAAAATACATACAAACACATACAAACCAATAAACTTGTCTTATACTCTCTTGTTTAGGAATATGACAAGTCTGAAGACATACCTGAGGAGGTAGCTACAGCGGGACAGGTGTGTTCCCATGGATGATTCAAGCCTGTCCAGCACTATTGACGTAGACAAAGGCTTTGCCATTGCCTTTGTCGTTCTTCTGTTTCTTTTCCTAATAGTGATGATTGTTCGATGTGTCAAGTTGGTGAAGAATCCCTATGAGGCCAGTTCACATGAGAACCATCTCTGAGCTGAATTATGAAAAAGCCTGGTAGACTCCCCGTCACAGGAGATTTGAAATCTTTTATACAGACTATTGTGATCCAGATTCTATATTATTTTTCCTCCCTGTGTCTCAGTCCTCTCACTCCTGCATTCCACAATAGGCACAGAAGTGTGAATTAGGAATAATAAAAAGGATGAAACACAAGCCAGTTTGCATTGTTCCTGTTCAGGGAAATGGTTACAAAAGTGGGACAGAGACAGGTTGAACTCACTCATTAAAATAAGGCAATGGGTGGCAATGATAAATCAATAAGGGATTTTTATCCAAATTTTACAAAGAAATCAATACCCCAAAAAATATCCAGTTAAAAATGGGCAGAGGACCTGAATATACACCTATCTGAAGAGGACATACAGATGGCCAATAGACATATTAAAAGATGCTCAAGGTCATTAACCAACAGGGAAATGCAAATTAAAACCATGAGATATCGCCCAGCAGGTGTGGCTCAGTGGTTGAGCTTCGACCTATGAACCAGGAGATCACAGTTCGATTCCAGTCAGGGCACATACCCAGGTTGTGGGCTCCATCCCCAGTGTGGGGCATGCAGGAGGCAGCCAATCAGTGATTCTCTCTCATCAATGATATTTCTATCTCTCTCTCCTTCTCCCTTCCTCTCTGAAATCAATAAAAATATATTTAAAAAAATAAAACCATGAGCTATCACCTCACACCTGTCAGAATAAATATCACCAATAAATCAACAAACAAGTATTGGTGAAGATGTGCATTGTTTGTGGGATTGCAAATTAGTGCAGCCACTATGGAAAATAGTAAGGAGGGTCCTCAAAAAATTAAAAAATGGAACTATCTTATAACCCAGCAACTCCACTTCTAGGTATTTATCTGAAGAAACCCACAACACTAATTTAAAAAGAGATATGCACCCCTATGTTCATTGCAGCATTATTAATAATAGCCAAGATATGGAAGCAATCCCAGTTATCCATCAATAGGCAAGTGGGTAAAAAAGTGGTGGTACATATTTACAATGGAATATTACTAAGCCATAAAAAAGAATGAAATCTTATCAGTTGCAGCATCATGGATGGACCTAGAGGGCATTATCCTAAGTGAAATAAAAGACAAATACCCTCTTATTTCACTTACATGTGGAATCTAAAGAACAAAATTAATGAAGAAACAAAACAAACAGATTTATAAACACAGAAAATAAAATGACAGTTACCAGGGGTGAGGTGGGATTGGTGGCCTGGGTGGAAAAGTGAAGGGCTTAAGAAGTACCAATTTGTAGTTAGAAAACAGTCATAGGATGTGAAATACAGCATAGGGAATATAGTAAATAAATAAATAATAAGGTCATGGGTTTCAATTCTCCAGTATCTAATGTCCTTACGATAAGATAGTTGGCCATAATTTTATGATGTAATATAATATCATGATGCTTGGTAAGGTGCACCTAAAACTAGAAGCCCTCCTAGAGGTGGTCCTAGGAAGTCCCTTTATTATACAAATGTAAGGCCAGCAGGAACCTATGATAAGAGTCTAACAGGACCTTTTTAGTGTGTGAGATTTTATAAAATCTGTGGCCCTTACCAAGTGGGCAAAGCTCTGTGGTGGAAGTGCACTAATTTGCCTTGGTTGAATTCCTTAATCTCTCTCAGCTCAAATTGCCTTATCTATAAAATAACATCTGGTGGGTTGAAAAGAGACCCTCAAAAAGATGTCCATGTCCTCACCCCTGAAACCTATGAATGTGACCTGATTTGGAAAAAGGGTCTTTGCAGATATAATTAAGGATCTCAAGATAAACTCATCCTGGATTATCCAGGTGAGCCCTAAATCCAATTACAAGTGTCTTTATAAAAGACAGAAGAGAAGAAGACACAGGACGATGGAGGAAAAGACCATGTAAAGATGGAGACAGAGATTGGAGTCATTCAACCACGGCTAAAGAACCCGTGCCTGGAGCCACCAAAACTGGAAGAGGCAAGGAAGGATTCTCCCTAGAGCCCTTTAGAAGGAGTACAACCCTGTCAACACCTTGAGAGAATAAATTTCTGTTTCTTATAGCTACCTAGTTTGTAGGAATAAGTTACGGTCATCACAGGAAACTAATGTACAACACACGATGCTGATAATGACAAATACGCAAAAAATTCCTAGACACTGCCTTGTTTCCCAATCCTTCCTTCCAGAGGTAATTGCTGTTATGATCATTTGTTTTTGAATATGTGTGTGTCTTTCCAGACTTTTTCTTTTTGATGTAATATGTGTGAATACGATACATGATTTCATGTTTCAGAACTCAAAAAGTATAAAATGGTGTGCAATGGAAACCCTCCCTCCAACTCTTGCCCCCACCCTCCATTTGCCCTCTTCAGTGAGAGCCAGTGTTAATTTCTTGTCTCCTTCCAGTGATATTTTATGTATATGTAAGAAAAGAAATATTCCTGCCATAATTTATACAAAAATAGGGTGTTATATAAATGTTCTGCACCTACTTTTCTTATTTAATGTCTTGAACATCGCGCCATATCAATGCACAAAGAGCTTCCTTAGCTTTTTAAAAAAATCCTCAGCTGATGATATGTTTATTGGTTTTAAGAGGGAGAGAGGAAGGGAGCGAGAGAGAAACATGGATCAGTTGGTTGCCTCCTGAAAAACACCATGACTGAGGATCGAACCCACAACCTTTTGGTGTACGGGACGAAGCTCCAACTAACTGAGCCACCTGGTCAGGGCAAGCTTTCTTAGGCTTTTTTTAAAAGAAACACAGCTGAAAGGCCCTGGTCGGGTAGCTCAGTTGGTTAGAGCACCATCCTGCTACACCAAGGTTGAGGGTTCCAACCCTGGTCAGGGCTCATACAAGAATTAACCAATGAATGCATAAATAAGTGGAACAACAAATCAGTATCTCTCTCTCCCAAAATCAATAAATAAAATTTAAAAAATACAGCTGAAGAGTATTCTATTGTTTGGTGTGCCATCATTTCTTTAACCAACCCCTGCTGATAAAAATTTACATTGTTTCTGAATATTTTGCTGTTTTAAAAAAATGTTGCAGAAGATAATTTAGCATTTATGTCACTTCAAAGGTACATATATTCAAAGTATACAATTTCAAAGGTATGTAGTTTAATTCCTAGAAGTTGAATTGCTGATTTAAAGAGTATTGCAGGGCCTGTGTGGTTCAGTGGGTATCACTTGGGGTTGTACCTTGAGTGTCAACCCATGAACCAGGAGGTCACGGTTCAATTCCCGATCCGGGCACATACCCGGGTTTCAGGCTTGATCCCCAGAGAGGGCTTGCAGGAGGCAGCCAAGCGATGACGATTCTCACTCATCATTCATGTTTCTATCTTTCCCTCTCCCTTCCTCTCTGAAATCAATAAAAACTTTTTTTTTATATATATTTTATTGATTTTTTACAGAGAGGAAGGGAGAGGGATAGAAAGTCAGAAACATCGATGAGAGAGACACATCGACCAGCTGCCTCCTGCACACCCCACACTGGGGATATGCCTGCAACCAAGGTACATGCCCTTGACTGGAATCGAACCTGGGACCTTTCAGTCCGCAGGCCGACGCTCTATCCACTGAGCCAAACCGGTTACGGCTTAAAAATAAAAGTATTGCAAAATTTACAAATTAGTTTTCAACATTCAGAACTCAGAAATTTTCATATAAAAATACAGATTTTTACGTTTACTTGGAAAATTGTAGATCTGGCAACATTGTAACTACCACACAGGACAAAAATTAGAGGGTGCTAACCAGCAACTGCTTCGTGTAGGTGAGAAATATAGTTCCCAGGTTCCCACGCAACCCATTTTGCTCCCTTACATTATTTTCCTAATGTCTGGAACCTTTTGAGGTTTTCGATCCCTGTCTTCTTTTGTTTTGATTCTGAGGTCACTCAGCAACCTGTAGTTTATCATCTAATTTCCCTTAAGTCTGTCTGCAGGGGAAGGATCATTTGGCATTCCAAGGGTTTGGCCCCGTGCTATAACATCTCATGTTCACGTATTAAGTAGCATGTGGTTGTGATTTTTCAGTGTATCACAGTGTATTATAGAAATGAATGTGCTGAGCACACCCAACGTGAGTATTCCAAATGGTGTGTCAGTTATTTATTATGTTATACGATATTATTAAATTGGCAATGAACTGTCTACCTTCAGAATTTTTCAATTTTAAATAATGTGAGCCATTTATAATAGGGCCTGAATCTCTGGCCCTATTTTAACAGTGCCTGGTATATAGACTTCAGAACTTAACAAAAACAAAGGCAGAGCTTGGCTCCCTAAATATCAAGGCCCTGTCCTAGACAGGATTACACAGCTCAAACCCGCTTTCCTACAGCGAGCAAACGAATTACCTGGAGGTCTTATTAAAGATCAGATTCTTACTCAGTACACACTTAATGGCCCAGAGAGAGATTTAGAATCTTTAACAAGTTCCCTGATTGCACGTTGAGTAGTAAGGTCTTAGAAGACACTTCCTGAGTCCCACTGCTGATTTCTGCCAGTCTGATCACTTCAGCCTTCTCAGGACAATGAAGAAATCAGACTGTAATACGATGCCCCAAAGAGCTCCTGTTTCTCTTCAACATTCGTCATTTCCACCCCCAAACCACCCACACACACATCAGGGAGCTGAAAGTAACTAATAGAAACATAATCAGGGCAGAGCAAAGATTTCCCTTTATTATCACACATTACAGAGCACCACATGTACAGGGCAATATGTCAGGTGCCAGGGGGAAAAAGGTGGTTAAGACAGGACCTCAGCCTTGAGTTAATCACAACCCAACAGAGGAGACAGGACTATGCACAGATAATTTACAAGTGAAAAGGCAATAACTCGGTCACAGGTTTGTCCCTGGCCCCTGTCTGGGCATGTGTGGGAGGCAATCAATAGATGTGTCTCTCCCACATAGATGTTTCTCTCTCTCTCTCTCTCTCTCTCTCTCTCTCTCTCTCTCTCTCTCTCTCTCTCTTTCTCTCTCCCCCTCTCGCCTGCTCGCCCCCTCCCCGCCCCCCACCGCCCTTCCACTACCTCCATGGAAAAAATATTCTCAGGTGAGGATTAACTGCCTGGCTCTGACACCTTTTAGCTCTATGGCTTTGGGAAATTTAATTCTGTGCCTCAGTTTTCTCATCCAGTAAGAGATGATAATAGTTCCTACCTCATAGGATTATTGTGAGAATTAAATAATAACTATAAAGTGCTTAGAACAGTGCCTGCTATATAGTAAATACTCCAATATTTTGTGTGTAAATGTGTGTTTTATAGGTATTTTATGTCCAAAATTTTTAACTCAGATTACAGCTGTGGGCAAACTACGGCCCGCGGGCCGGATCCGGCCCATTTGAAATGAATAAAACAACAACAACAACAAAAAGACCGTACCCTTTTATGTAATGATGTTTACTTTGAATTTATATTAGTTCACACAAACACTCCATCCATGCTTTTGTTCCGGCCCTCCGGTCCAGTTTAAGAACCCATTGTGGCCCTCGAGTCAAAAAGTTGGCCCACCCCTGGATTAGAAGATAATACCATGATGAAATGCATTTTGAAGGTGCTGAATTTCAAATATCTAGAGGAGCCCTCGCTTCTCTGTACTTTAATTCCAGATGTCATAACAATTGGAAATAGGCACTTAAAATGGTCCCAGGAAACTGGTGGATAAGTGAAATGAGCACAGATGAAAGTGTGGCCAGCGGGAGAGAATTTCTAGGATTTTGATAATCCTGGCTGCTTGGTCCCTGTTGCCAGTCTTACATAGCAGGTGGTGGTTAATATTTTTTTAATGAAGTCAGGCGCACTTAGTGTACTAGTAAAGACTGCTGAACAAATTAAAGCAATAATGAAATACTATGGTAGTCAATAGTGCTGATTCATTAAATACACCTGATTCTCCTTCCTTGTCTTCCTGGCCCCTTGTGGCTGGGCAGGGCCTTATGACTCATTCAGGCTAATGAGTTGTAACTGAAAGTGAGCTGAGTCACTTTAATTGCCATTGTGAGACCCTCTAGCTTTCTCTCCCTCTGGCATGATTACTCATTAGCCTGGGTTCCTGAGTAGCTATTGTAAGATCCACTGCCAACTCTTTAGAGATGATTATGCGGTATGAGCAAGAATTATACATTTTGTTTTGTTTTGTTTTAAGCTTTTGGAGTTGTTGCCACAATATAACCTAGTCTATCCTGATACACATGCTATTTTAACACATTAAATTCTTTCAAGTTAAATAGTAAACATCCAGTCCTAATAAAGGTGTGGGAAAATAAATACTTCCAGAGATTTTCTAGTGGGAGTAAAAATTGTTTCAACTTTTTTGAAAAACAACTTGACAGTAGATTCTATTAAAATGAAAAAAAAAAAAAAATACTCGCCCTCCCCCCCACCAAGATTCCATTTTGAGAAATCTCTTCCACAGAAATAAAAGTACTACTTCAAAAGGATGTTAATGTCTATTGTAGTGGCTAAAAACTGAAACTGTTCTAAATTTCCAAATAAGGTTTAGCCAAACTATGAAGTATTATGCAACTGTCAAAAAGACAAATTTTACCCTTTTTATTGACTTCGAGGGATGTCCAAACCCACCCTCCCCCCCAAAAAATCCATATGCATGACCTTGTATGTACAAGCCTAGAAAACTAAGTTGTTTTACCTTGAAGGAGCAGGGATGCTGATGGGGGAGCAGAGAACATTATCATGTTTTTCTTATTACATCTTGTTATTCCTCGACTTCTTACAATTTGTAAGGCTTATGTAACTAAATAAACTCAAGTAAAAGTGAGAGGAAAAAAACTAAACCTAAGTGTCTGCCAACTGAGTCTTTTTTTAAAAAAAATATATTTCATTGATATTTTACAGAGAGGAAGGGAGAGGGATAGAGTTAGAAACATCGATCAGCTGCCTCCTGCACGCTCCCCACTGGGGCTGTGCCTGCAACCAAGGTACATGCCCTTGACTGGAATAGAACCTGGGACCCTTGAGTCTGCAGGCTGGTGCTCTAACCACTGAGCCAAACCGGTCAGGGCCCAACTGAGTCTTTACAAAATAAGCCTAGCATTGCTGCCACTAGTTGAGAGTGGGGGGAAGAGGCGGAGCTTCTGTAATATTTCCAGGCCACGCCCACTTTACCCGGCCAATGGCTTTTCACGAGGGCCCTGGAAGGCTTGCTTTGACGCATGCGTACTTGCCTGAGGTTTTTTTGTTGTTTTTTTTCTAGCCTCCGAGGAGCACCCTGCAGTTTTGGGTTTGACCCTGTCGGGCTACCGTCCTGGGAACCGGAACAGCACCTGAGGTTTGCTTCCGGGCGTCTCTAAGGCTTCCCCTTCCCTCCATCACGCTTCTTCCCCTCCCCCTATTCCCTTTTCCCTTTGCGTTCTCTCCCACAGAGGCCGACCCCTGAGTCGTGAGTCTGGGGTCTGGTTGGTGAAAAAAAGCTGTAGCAGCTGAAAGTAGGGAGGTGTGGGAAATTAACTGAGGTATTTGGAGACCAAGGGCTTGTCCGAAATGATTTGTTTGTGGGAGGAGGTCGAGCGACGGTGGGAAGTTTTCCCCTTGAGGCGAGCGGGGGCGGGGTTTAGCCGTGTTTGCCTGGCGGGGTAGAGGGGGCGGGGGGGAGATGCGCCTCTAAAATGGGTAGCCAAGGGGTGGGGACACAGGGAAAATGGAGGTGATGGGAGCTGGCATGGGGGTCGCACGGCGTTCTGGCTTCAGTTTTACTTCAGCCGTTTGATGAAGAGAGCAGCTACAATTGGACTGTAGGTTTTAGGTAGCCACGTTTTATTCCCCCTTTACTTTGGAGAAACCTTTGCCGCACGCCTGTGTGCTTCAGTATTATAGACCTTTAAAAAAGTAAATTACCACATGGAAGCAACGGAGTGTCAGGGGAACAGATAGTTAGAGAGAAAGCAATGAATTACAGACCAACGCCTTCCCTCTGGGTGGAGATATTTGTTCAAACTAGGCAATATCGTGCAAATGTTTAATTAGTCAGTTTTAAGGAGCACAGGTCTCAGAAATACAAGCATGCCTCCTTTTATTGCGCTTTGCTTGATTGCACTTCGCAGGTATTACGTTTTTTACGAACTGAAGGCAAAGACCCTCTACCAGCAAAAAGATGATCATTCACTTTATTGCAACACTGGCTTTATTAAGGTGTTCTGGAAGCCCAGCCCGCGTGCCTGTGTCTTTCCTCAGTAGATCGGTTCTCTTCAGTTTTCCAAAACGTTATTTCCCGTAGTCCCCTGTTGCATAATACTAGGATATGCCCTCTCAAACCTTTAAGTCTTACTCAGGACTATAGTCTATATAGCATAAGATGAGAACTACAAAATCTCAGTATCATATACTGGAGAATGGAGAGAGGGAACATAGAATCAACTTTAACTGTATTTGAATACTAAGGAGTGGGAATGAGTTTTATTTGGGGCCTGGAATTCTCTGTTGTGGTTATAATGACTTCAAAGATAATTTCAGTTTTTTGTTCCATGTAGAGGACAACAGCATGTCCTCCCTCCCTGGGTGCCTTGGTTTGGAGGCAGAAACCGCTGCAATGGAGTGTGAAGAGATTGCAGAGCTGCAACAAGCAGTGGTTGAAGAGCTGGGTATCTCCATGGAGGAGCTTCGGGAGTTCATTGATAAAGAACTAGAAAAGATGGACTGTATACAGCAACGCAGGAAGCAGCTAGCAGAGTTGGAGACGTGGGTAATACAGAAGGAGACTGAGGTGGCCCATGTTGACCAGCTCTTTGATGATGCATCCAGGTAAGGACTATATGGGAAGAAGGGGGATTGATTCATCATGACAGACATTATGTCAAGCACTTTATAGTTTACAAGGTACAGGTATGTAGAACCTTACTCTTCCTCAAAAGTTAGAATCCAGGACCCTCATAAGGACCCATATAGAGAATATTCATCTATTAGAGCCTAATATATGATCATTAATAGGGGTGTCCAGGTCTTGAGTCCCTTCCCCTTTTGCACACCAGAGCAATTGCTTTGTTTCCTTAGTAGGATTGTCTAGAGAGTGAGGAACGTAAAGAGTTACTGTCTTATGTAGTCGTGGAGCATTAATAAGTTCCTAGAGCCCTGAATTTATTCCTAAACCCCCAGAATATTTGTTTCTGGTGCCCTAGTTGTCACTTAGAAAGCGTTTTCAAATAACAAGGTAAATAGTGAGGTATGGTTGAAAGAACTATACTTTGAGCTTATTTTGGATTTTTAAGAAACTAGTCTGGAAACCACTATTTAAATATTTTTCTATGGGAAAAGCATTCTAAATTCTGAACAGAGACACTTGGACTATAGCTGTTTATAAATTTAAGGCAGCTTGTATTTAAATATATATAAATTCTAGTGGCTCCTATACCTCCTGCTGGCTTTGACCTTTTCTACATGTGTTCCAATATTAGGGCAGTGACTAATTGTGAGTCTTTGGTGAAGGACTTTTACTCCAAACTGGGACTACAATACCGGGACAGTAGTTCTGAGGACGAAGCTTCCCAGCCTACAGAAATAATTGAGATTCCTGATGAAGATGATGATGTTCTCAGTATAGATTCGGGTAAGAGATGAAGCTATGGAGAGGAGAGTCTGGGGATCAAACTTGAAACACTAGAAGATAAAAGAATAGAGAAACCATTGTTACTAACTCCATATTCTAAACTGTTAGACTTATCTGTTGCAGAAAAAAATAGAACATTGTTAGTATCATAAATGTTCCTTTCGTGCTACTTCTGGTTGAATTAACCTCCTTTCCCCATTCTGTGTAATCTCTATTCTGAATTTCCTTGCTTTTTTTTGTAGGTTGCATTAGCATCTATGTATATATCTCAGAATATGTGTTTGGTTTTTGTCTATTTTTTTAAAATTTTTTTGAAGGTGTGCCCTAGCCGGTTTGGCTCAGTGGATAGAGCATCAGCCTGCAGACTGAAGGGTCCTGGGTTTGATTCCGGTCAAGGGCACATGCCCAGGTTGTGGGCTCGATCCCCAGTAGGGGGTGTGCATGAGGCAGCCAATCAATGATTCTCTCTCATCGATGTTTCTATGACTCCCTCTCTCTTCCTCTCAGAAATCAAAATATTCTAAAAAAACAAAACGAAGTTAGGTTGTTTGTTTTTTTATTATTGACTTAGAATATACTTTAGGTGTAATTCATTTATCAGATACCTTTTACAAACTTTCAAATATGTTCTTTTTTAAAAAATATCTTTCTTTTTTTAAATATATTTTTATTGATTTCAGAGAGGGGAGAGGGAGAGACAAAAATGATTAGAGAGAGCCAAAACCGGTTTGGCTCAGGGGGATAGAGCGTCGGCCTGTGGACTGAAGGGTCCCGGGTTCGATTCCTGTCAAGGGCATGTACCTTGGTTGTGGGCATATCCCCAGTAGGAGATGTGCAGGCGGCAGCTGATTGATGTCTCTCTCTTCGATGTTTCTAACTCTCTATCTCTCTCCCTTCCTCTCTCTAAAAAAATCAATAAAATATATTAAAAAAAAAAAATGATGAGAGAGAATCATTAATCAGCTGCCTCCTGCATGCCCCACACTGGGGACTGAGCCTGCAACCCAGGCATGTGCCCTTGACTGGAATTGAACCCGGGACCCTTCAGTCCGCAGGCCAAACTGGTTAGGGCTCTTTATTTTCTTAATGGTGTCTTTTAAATAGTAAAAATTCTTTAGTAGGGTTGAGGGTGGTTTATTTTGCTTATGGCTATCCAGTTCCACCATTTGTTGAAAAGACTACTCTTTTGGTACCCTTGTCAAAAATCAACTGGCCTTATATGTGAGCATCTATTTTGTCACATTGATCTAAATGACTGTCTTTATACTGGCACCACACTGTCTTAATTTCTATATCTTTATAGTAAGTAGGATTGTTTGTTGCTAGGATATAAAAATATAGTTGGTATTTTCATCACCCCAATAGGGAAACTTCATACTCGTTAGTGGGTTTTCTTTTGGGGGTGATGAAAATGTTTTGGAATTAGTGAAGTGGGTTGTACAACCTTGTGAATATATTAAAATCCACTGAATTAAACACTTTTTTTGTTAATATGAGAGAGAGACATTGACTTTTCTTTCTACTTATTTATGCACTTGTTAGTTGCTTCTTGTATATGCCCTGACTGGGGATCAAACCTGCAACCTTGCTGTATCAGGCCAGGGCTGAATTAAACTTCTTCTTTTTTTAATCCTCACTCAAGGATACTTTTCCATTGATTTTTTTTTTAAAATATGTTTTATTGATTTTTTACAGAGAGGAAGGAAGAGGGATAGAGAGTTAGAAACATCGATGAGAGAGAAACATCGATCAGCTGCCTCCTGCATACTCCCTACTTGGGGATGTGCCTGCAACCAAGGTACATGCCCTTGACTGGAATCGAACCTGGGACCCTTCAGTCCGCAGACCGACGCTCTATCCACTGAGCCAAACCGGTTTCGGCAATAAAATATATTTTTAAAAAATTAATTTAAAAATTATTTCCTCAGATGCACTAGCTGCATTTCATTTGGTTAGTAGCCACATGTTAATAGATTGGACAGTGCAAATATAGAATAGTTCTATCATAGCAGAAAGTTCGGTTGTACAACACTATTCAAAAATAAATACTTTTGCTTAATGCTTTTATCACATTTCATTTTTCAGTCATTCAAATAATCCATAAGTAAATTATTGTTATAAAAATACAAATATACAGTGAAAACCCAAATTAATATAGATTACCACTTGTCACAGTACTTTACCCCAGGTAAGCACTATCATCAATTTACTCTGTATCTCTCTGGACCCTTTTGATACTTTTACATATTTGTAGCTCTGTATCTACTTTGCAGTTGTTACTGACGATACTTCTATGATAATGCTTTTAAGTTGCTTAGTTCTTGGTTTCTTGAAAATTCTTGTGTGTAAGTATCCTACACTCACTAGCGTTTTTCTCATCCATAGGTGATGCTGGAAGCAGAACCCCAAAAGACCAGAAGGTAAGTTAGAATGGGTAGGGGAAGGGTAAAAGATAACATGAAAATGGGAGAAACTTTTAGCCTGACTCTTCTGTTAGTTCAGCCATCGACATAGAATCAGTCACCCTGTAATCAGCCCCAGTTGTTGCAGCGGTGGCCGAATATAGACGTTATTAGAAAGCAAAAGAGATTACTTAGAGAGCGTGCACTGATTGCGATATGAATGTAGAATTTGGCAGCACTCAGCTAGGTGAGATTACTCAAGGAAAGCTTCCTAAAGCTGATTTCTGAACCAGATTTGTAAGAAAGCAGTTTTGCCTGATAAAGTAACCATAAGTTTCCAAATACAGCTAATTCTATTTTTGTTTTTTTTTGAAAGACAAGTTACTTCTTATTTTAAAATTATTTCTAACCGATGCTGCTGTTTCAAAACTTATTTCCCTCATGCCCTTCCTTACAGCTCCGTGAAGCAATGGCTGCCTTAAGAAAGTCGGCTCAAGATGTCCAGAAGTTCATGGATGCTGTCAACAAGAAGAGCAGTTCCCAGGATCCACATAAAGGTTAGGGTCAGGAAGTACTGCAGTATCAGTGGGGGTGAATTCCTATAGAGATTTCATGGATAACTGGCTTTTTTTAGCTTCTCAGAATCCTTCTCCACCTCTTTTGGGTTCTTTTAACACCTCAGGCTATACAAGTCAATATAAGATTATTTGTGATTTTGTTTTTCCTTGCTGTCTGCTGAAGTGTTTTGCCTGCCGTTTTGCCAGTGTGTAATGGCTTTATCTGAATAATTTTTTAACTCATCCTCATGGGTACTTCTTCCAGATAGAGATCAGAGAGAAGCAGTCTGAGAGACGTTTTGCTTGTAGAATGGGTTTGTTACAGGAAAATGTTTTATAAATGCTTCTTCTCATTTAATGAGTGGTGGTTAATGTTATTAATGAGTTGTAAACAGTTGGTTAAAGTGGCATGTTCTTGAATTACATGTGACTTTCAGTTAGAGTTTTTACTGTTAGCATTACAGTTGTCAGCTATGTTTTATGTTTCCACCCTTGACCAAGAGAGCAGCAAAAATGGCTAAGGATCAAAGACTATCCCATTTTCCCTGATTACCCTACTGCCCCCTTTACTTTTTCATTCTCTCTCCAGTCTATGCCATATTTCTTTAGAACAGTCGTTCTCAACCTTCCTAATGCTGCGACCCTTTAATACAGTTTCTCATGTGGTGACCCCCAACCATAAAATTATTTTCGTTGCTACTTCATTACTGTAATTTTGCTACTGTTATGAATCGTAATGTGAATATCTGATATGCAGGATGTATTTTCATTGTTACAAATTGAACATAATTAAAGCATAGTGATTAATCACAAAAAGATATGTAATTATATATGTGTTTTCCGATGGTCTTAGGCAACCCCTGTGAAAGGGTCGTTCGACCCCCAAAGGGGTCGCGGCCCACCGGTTGAGAACCGCTGCTTTAGAACAACTTTGTTTTCTTCCATAGGAGCCTTGAGTCAAATGTCTGGAGAACTGAGCAAAGATGGTGACCTGATAGTCAGCATGCGCATTCTGGGCAAGAAGAGAACTAAGACATGGCACAAAGGCACCCTTATTGCCATCCAGACAGTTGGTATGTTCAAGCTAGAGGAAGAACTAAGGAACAACCTGCAGGTTTCCATTGCTGATTGTTTCTCTTCCCCTCAGCCTTGCCTTTTGTCTCACACAGCAGCCAGGATTTACACAGAAACTGGTGGGGTTTTTTAACTTTTGTTTATCTTTCCCTTTTACTCAGGGCCAGGAAAGAAGTACAAGGTGAAATTCGACAACAAAGGAAAGAGTCTACTGTCGGGGAACCATATTGCCTATGATTACCATCCTCCTGCTGACAAACTGTATGTGGGCAGTCGAGTGGTGGCCAAATACAAAGATGGCAATCAGGTCTGGCTCTATGCTGGCATTGTAGCCGAGACACCAAACGTCAAAAACAAGCTCAGGTACCTAGACGGGATTGTAAAGGGAGCAGAGGCCGGGAGCACAGCATCTGTCCTGTTCAAGTCATAATCCAGATCTCACAATTAGCCTTTGTGCTCTTAGTCCCCAGTGGCCAAAAAGTCCTTCTTTTTCTTTGCCACAGGAGTCATGTGGGTGATTTCTTTCTCCTTTTTTTTCTTTTTGTTTTTTTTCCTTGAGAAAACTTGTAAGAGAGTAATCAGGATTGATTGATGGTTAGTAGGGGAATAGGGAATCATATAGGAGGAAGAAATAAAGTGGAGACTAAATGGTTTTCCGAATAGGAATCTGATAGTAGAACTAGAATAAATCGCTTTTGGGAAAGTGGGGATATATTGGTTAGATGAAGAAAATTCTTAACTCTTGGGGTGGGAAGAAAGAAGAACAGAAAGGAAGTAGACTGGAACATCTTCCCTGAGGTGGGAGCTGGGATAAGATAATGCCTGTAGGCCATGTTAAATATAATCCCCTCATCTTTCCACTGTCACTCTTTCCTTACAGATTTCTCATTTTCTTTGATGATGGCTACGCTTCCTATGTCACACAGTCAGAATTGTATCCCATTTGTCGGCCACGTGAGTGTCCCTCCTTTCTTCCTTAGTTCTATTCATCTTCCTCTACCTTGTATTTCTTTTAAGGACAACCAGTTGAGAAGTCCTAGTGTTTTTGTTGCTTCTATCTCAAAAAGAACATAAGTTTGATTAAAGTCCTTTGGGAGATAAAGTTTATTTTTTGTGTTTTTTTTTTTTTTTTTTTTAATATATCTTTAGTGATTTCAGAGAGGAAGGGAGGGGGAGAGAGAGATAGAAACATCCGCGATGGAGAGAAAGTCATGGATCGGCTGCCTCCTGCAAGTCCCCCACTGGGGATCGTGCCCACAACCCGGGCATGTGCCCTTGACCGGAATCAAACCTGGGATCTTTCAGTTCGCAGGCCAACGCTCTATCCACTGAGCAAAACCGGCTAGGGCAG